CAAAAAAAAAAAAAAAAACGCCAAATTGACCTTAACCTCTCCAGACTGGTATTAAGTGTATCCCATCATGTTCTGGAAATAAATCAAGACACCACAAGTGTGTCATCTGTACTGAACAGACATTTAGAAGTTTATTTTAAAATGCAAAGGATTGAAAATCTAAATAAAGCTCTGTAAACACTTGCATTTGCATGAAAAGATCACACACACTTGTGGTCTTCACCCCCACTTGAACACTTGGGCCAAATACAGGAAATACGTCATGTAAGTAGACAAGTGGTCAAGTGCAAGGACCGCAAGTGTGGGTATTTGGACAAGCCCGTTGATGTCAACAGCAGTGAGTCACAAAATAATCAAATAAAAAATTATCAATTTGTCTTGTAAAATGTCATGCCAAAATTAAGTAGGTTACTAACAGGGAATGAATACACAATCTGAACATTAAAATCTCTCTCTGAATTCACATTTACATGTGTGCAGAACATCAAGGGTCAATTTGCTGATACTGTCTACAGGATGTGGTGTACTGGATCTCAACAAAAAACATAAAGTGCAGTCAGTATGATATGAGAAGAAGTGAAATAACAATACAAACCCAGAAACAAAGAATGAATGTATATGTGGTCAAGTCAGTTCTTCAGTGTTCTCCATTCAGCTTCTTTTGTGAAGTTTGGAAACGAAGGAGAGGTTTTTGTTAATGCCACAGTGAACAGAAGATACTGAAGATAAACCACAAGAACCAAGACGATCTGAAGACATTGCAGATAGATCAGAAATAAAGATATCATTCAATGACTACCCTTATCTTAATGATTTACATTTTTAAGTGAAAAAGTGAAAAATGAGAAGCAAAATGAAGAACTGAAAAAGACCATACCAAAAAATAGCCTAAGTTTTTTCTGAATGTCTGAGTTTGTAGGCTTAGTATGTAAGGCTTCTTTACCTGCTAACATGATTGACTTCTTCTCAAAACCACTTTAATGTGAAATAAAAGACAGTAAACAAACACACAAAAATCTCATGCAAGAAGCATCTTGTTTCCACTATATGCTTTTGAGACTCTAGCAGCTCCGTTTCTGAGTCAGACTGAAACCTGCTGCGGTCTGAGTTTAACTCAGGCCAGTTTAGAGGCATACGACCCAAATAAATGTGGCTACTGTTGAGTGGACAAACGTCTCTTGCAGCTAACAATGTGTTTACTATTGCATGTGTGCGCTGATGGGTAAATGGGCAAAGACATTATTTTCCTTTGAGACAATGGCTGATTGAAACAAACAACTGCTGCAACATTCTGGACAGAAACAATAGCCTAACAGAGTAGGCTACAACAAAAATGAAGCCTAAAAAGTAAGACCGTTAGGTAAAGACAATATGACATAATTATATTGAGAGACACAGAATGATTTAGCACAATATGTTAAGTAATAGCATTAACCAGGATGTGAAACTGAACTACAGTAGAAAGCATCGCCTGCACGTTGACGGAAGCGCGCTGTCTGGAGGTCTTTCTGTGTTTATCTCTAAACCTTATTTACAGATCGTATTAATGATATATTCCTGTCGAAAACGGATGCATACTAAGCGATTTATCTCAAACGGCTAAAGAAAATGACCCACACATTTATTTTGTTTTGTTTGTGTTTTTCTCATCTGGTTGGTAAGTACTTGTATTTTAATGACGTCACTGAAATCAAAGCGTAATAACGATTAACTCAAATGATTTACAATATTGCTGATGCTATAAGGAATTAGGTATCATAAACGTAAAAACTTGTATAAATTAGCATTTTTATATATATTTTTTAAAAACGTGATTTAGCCATGAAATATTGCATATTTAGTCTAACATTAACCTAGATGTAAGTTCATTGGTTCATGACATGGCAACAAACTGAGCGTTATTGTTAAGTGTTACAACATTTTTTACATGTTCTCCAGGTGTGTTTGTTGCAGAGACAGATGTAGTAAAGTCAGTATCAGTGATGGAGGGAGATTCTGTCACTCTAAAGACTGATGTTACTGATAAACAGGGATATGACAAGATAGAGTGGAGGTTTGGAGAGGAGCGAATCGCCAGAATCAAGGGAGTGAACGGTACATATTATGATGAGGTTTGGAGATTCAGAGGCCGACTGCAGCTGGATCACACCGGCTCTCTCACCATTAGAAACACCACAACTGAACACACTGGAGTTTATCATCTAAGTATGAAGGTTGGAAATGAAGACATACCCAAGATTTACAGAGTTACTGTGTATGGTGAGTGGATTATTATGTAACCTATTACATGGAGAATAGGCTACATCATTGTCAAAATGATGATTCAGAATGCACCTTTATAAAGCATGTTGTGTTTTCAGCTCCTCTGCCCATTCCAGTAATCTTCATTGACACTTTACAATCTTCTTCATCATCTGAAAGATCATCGAGGATCTTCCTGTGTTCAGTGGTGAATGTGAGTCATGCGACTCTCTCCTGGTACAAAGGAAACAGTTTATTGTCCAGCATCAGTGTGTCTAATCTCAGCATCAGTCTCTCTCTACCTCTGGAGGTGGAATATCAGGATAACAACACCTACAGCTGTGTGCTCAACAATCCCGTCAGCAACCAGACTCAACATCTCACCAACACTGAACTCTACTGGTTAGGTTGTGATTTTAAAGTTTTTTTCAGCATAGCTGTTTTTACTGACCTGATCTGATCTGGATTTCTTTTCTTTCCTCAGACTCTGTCCACTATTGTGGCACTGCTGAAGTTGTGATCCGATTGGTCGTCTCTGCTCTGATGGGTGTGGCTGCCGTGGCTGCCATTGTTGTTCTGGTTTATGACATTAAATCCAGAACAGGAGAGAAGAGAACTGACATCAACTTAAGACAACGATCAATCAGAAATTAAAAATGTTAATCTGTCTTTTTTTTCTGAGTACTTTTATGTTTAGATGAAACTGTGTTGTGACAGAATTCTTCATCTGTATTCCTAATGATGATGCAAATTTGATGTCCATAAAGCTAAGAACGTAAAATATTGCAGTCTACATCCTGTCTACGCTCTAATTCCTAATAATAAGCCAACATTCTTTCTCCATGTGTTCAGAAGTTCAATGAATCAGAAGTGTAAACAGTGTAAAAATGTGTAAACACTTTGTGTTTAAATGTAGCTCTGATAGCTGCTAATAAATCAGGTTGAATGGTGAAAATAACAGTTAATATAAAAAGCTCAAATATACAGAAAAACCTTCAGTCAGTCAGAAGTTCATTTGAAGATTCATTGTCATAAGATTTGGGTCGTCAGGCCCTCCTGGTTTACTAGGGTCAAGACTTATAGCGTTTGGGTATTTACTTTAGATAACTATATAAAATAGACATGTTCACATTAGAAATAGTAACTTTATAAAGGATGATATTCATTAAAATTTCATGACTTGTTCATGTTCTGTTGAAAAAGATGGATTCTCTGTACCAAAAAAAAAGCAAAATTCCAGAAGTCAATTAGAATATTAAAGCAATTTTATTGTGCATTTTTATTACATGCATTCAAGTACATGCTTATTCATATAAACTGGCTGCAACAATTATTAAATTTTCCCAACTGAACAAAGAATCCTATCTGTAGTCCACATTAGTCCACTAGAGGGCAGACATCAAGTTTCAGGGGTCTGAGAGTGGTTCGCATTGATTTTCATATTATTGTGAATGCTCCAAACAAACTTTTAAACAATCAGATCAACTCTACTGCAAAGAAACTCAGACAATGTTGACAGGTAGCCTCAATGTGCTTTCACTTGCATTTCATTTATAGCAGGCATGTCTGAATGTTTCACCTGAATTTCACATTTGGAAATGCCACTTATGTTTGGCCTTCACAGGGTAATGTATAAAAAGCAAAAGTGTAAGGAAAATATATCTTACAGAGTGTGTAGAACATCACCTTACATTGGACCAGACAAATATGTTTAAGAACTGTACCATTTAAATTCAGATTAAGAATACATGGATCATGTGCAATGCAAACTGTTCCATCAGCTGTAAAGTAAACTAAACCATTAAACTAAACAATTTTTTTCTTTCTTTCTTTTTTATACAATTACACAGCTCATCCTTACACAGAGCTTATTCCAAACAGTTGATATTATTAAAGTGGTTATATACTTGTAAGTATTAGGCTTCTCCTTATGTTTGTGTTCCATTCCCTTGACCTGCGGGGTCATCTGTAAGAAAACAGAAAGAATCACATATTCTAAAGCTACACAAAAACAAAGATGGAAGTTACCAAAACTTGAGAAAATTAAGTTAAATGGGAAAACAGAACTGAACTTTTCACTAGTGATCAAATATTACTGAAAACATCACAAAAGCAGGATGTTTAGCTTGAAGGAATCTGAATATTGCAGCTTTGTAGTCTTCTGTACTAGAATATATTTTTTGTGGTCTACAGCACAGTTTCTGACTTTTTTTCTTACAGTGTTCCTTCCTTTTATTGTAGCAGCAACGAACAATCAGAATCACCAGCACAACAGCAACAGCAACAGCAACAGCAGCACATATTCCTGCTATAACACCTGGAGACAGTCCTGAATCTGTAACGACAACTAAAGAGAATCATTAGTGTGTGTGATCTTTCTGATCCATAACGTACAAATCCATGTAAAAAGAAGGATTTTGACAAATAACATTCATATCCTCTACAAAAGTCTCTTTTGCAAAGAATTTGTTTTGGGAATGTTTGATATGCCATTGTTTCAGTTATGTCAGATCTTGCTATTTCGATTAAATGCTCACATATGTAAATATACAATATTCATAATGAAGAAACTTAATCTACTCACTCTTGACCGTAACACTGATGGTCCTCTGTAAGGTGTATGTGCTGCTGCTCATGTTTAGATGATAAACTCCAGAGTCTGTGCTTCTGGAGTCGCGGATGATGAGAGATCCAGTTTGATGCTCTCGCTGTAGTCTGCCTTCAAATTTCCCTTCAGCACTGAATAATGAAAACTGATTGGTAGTTCTGTTTATTCTAGCTATGAGATGGTTTTCAAATGTCCACAATATCAGATCATATCCCTTTATTTCGATAAGACCAGTGTGAAGAGAGACAGGTTCTCCCTCCTTCACTGATACTGTCTTCATTTCATCTGTCACAGCAACAAACACATAGAGAGAACAGGCAAGTTACCCAGAGATTAAGTTTGTCAAAGAATAATTACTTTTTAATCACATGGTTAAGTGTTTAGTTTCAAAAAGAATACGTGTCCTGTCACTTTGGTCTTGTTTTTAGTTTGGTGACAGGACACTCAGGTTCTAAGTTTTGTTTCCGTTGTAACCAAAATATAAGGGGTCAAGGTGAACCAATGAATGTTAAGTGGTCACAGTCCCATAAATATAATAATTGAATAGAATGAGTGATAGAGGTGACATTTATGCTTAACTCTGGAGTTTGTTCATCTTAAATTTAAACATTTGCAGTGAGCAGAAAATCACGTGAGGCACTTTTCAGTCGGAAGGCTGCATCTTAGAATGGCTGCATATCTCAGCTGCCACATCATCAAGCACCACCGAAAGCTCAATTTTGAGGATCCTTGGAAATCAGCCTTCATTCTGCATATTTGGAAGGTTGCATCAGGTGTATCCTTTAGTTTAGGATTTTCAGTGTTCATTTCGACCCTATTGAACCCAAGGTGCTTAATGTATTTTGTCAGTGCTCTGCAATACTTATTCATTGAGATCTTCAGTGTCCTCATATTACTTTTTATTACAGTAGGCACAATTTATAGACTCCAATTTATTAATTGCCTTTAAAATAATACTAGATTATCTTGAACTTTCAACAACATAACCTATGCATTGAAATGTCCCTTACGAAAAACAAATCAAAACATGTTTAGGCCTACTATACCATGGTAACCACAAATTAACCATAGTTTTGCTACACCAAACACAGTTTAACCATGGTAATTGTAGTAAAACTGTGGTTATACAAATGGTAATCTATACGCCAAAAAATAAATAAATACATAAAAAGCATGCTACACTTTTACTATAATAAAATCATGGTTATTTTTCCCTAAGGATTAGGCTATTTCTTGTTGCTATTCATAAACGTCTCAAACCGCTGTTTATCTGTCAAATACATTTCGTCTGCCATAAAAAAAAAAGCAAACATGCGAGAGCTTCACTGAAGCAGACTCGACTCCTTTTCAACTCCTCCTTCGACCGCAACCGGCAATTTTCAGCGTTCGGTAAGGAGCGGCGCAAAGATGAAGGCACGTGTTTTTTTTTTATGGGACATAAATGGTTCTTCCTCCAGGGGGCGCTTTACGGCTCAGAAAAACGAATTATATTAGTCACATTCAAGAAAGAGCCCCAACCTAATATTGTCTCTCCCACTGAAGACATTTGTACATTTTAAATATTTTTTATGTAGCCTATTCCAGGATTGGCTCCTGATAAACAAATGAAAAGCCACCTCAGCAAATTATTAAATAATTAATTGTCCTGTATCGTAAACATTACATTTCTGTTTAATTTAGTGTACATTTAAAATGTAATTGGATTATCTGAAACGATAACAAAATTTGGTCAACATTTGGTAACTAAGCCTACTGTAGCCTATACAATTTGAGAAAGTTTGAGCTAGTACTCACCAACAGCAATAAGGAATTTCCTGCGTAAAATTATACTGCTGGTGTTGATCTCCACTTCATAATCTCCAGACTGATCTTTTCGGATGTTTCTGACAGTGAGTTCTCCAGTTTGATTATTCAGATGAATGTTACTCCATCTCGAGTCAGCAGCGCTGTTTAATCCATTAACTTGATTGAGACCATCACCGGTTCGGAAGTTTGTTTGTTTACATTTACTGAATACTTTTACCCTTAAACACTTTATTAATGTTGACTAACTATATGTCATTCGAAAGCTGAAATGGTCAACCTTCGATATTTACGATCGAAATGTCACAGCGATTACATCTTTTTAGTTTCTATCAAGAGTTCTTATCAATACACGCAACATCGAAACTGGCAGTTCTTAACTGTTTTTGTCCAGTGAAGATTACAGACAAGTGAAATCATACACACATATGCGTATTTTTCATGACAATAAGCCAGATCACAAAACGGTTCCACATTTTTGTCCAACTAGTTGTAATTTAAGACAAATATCGATGAATTCTGTTTTGCATACGTAATAATTATTCTGAGTAAATTATAATTCTTGTCATTAGTGCAATAAATTACGCACTTTAAAAGATATTTCGGTAGTAAAACGCTATGTTATGATGTTTATTAAAGCTTCACGAACAAAATAACCCCGCCCTCAGCGTTCTCTGTGCAGCGCTGATTGGTCGGTGCTCCAAAAAGTTCTAGCAGCGCCACAGACTGTTGTGCACAACCTATAATATTCACTGCACACAGGCATCCACAGTAGGCTAAAGCTAGTAAAGGTTTGAAAAATGACAAATGTAGCCAACAAATAGATGATTACAGAGATTTTAGGGATTGAATGTATCCGCTGTCAGCCTTGTGTTTTAAATGTTGTATATAGGAATCTTAATAATTGTACTCCCACTGAAGGTGCATTGTGTAATATGCGCCACTGACGTAACAAAACAGAATAGCAAAAATTATGATTTTAATCTAACAGGCTCCCTGAACATGCCTAAAACTGTCTTGTCCACCTTGTCTTTCCAAACAGATTGTCCTGTCCCAGACTTCAGTATCCACTATATCAGACTGGACTGGATGCTCAAACAAACAGATGTTTTAATAGCTTCACACAGTCACAGCGTTAAACTTTTTGAGGAATTAGCCTACAAATGGCTTAATTATGGCTTAAATACTCATTGTCAGCCAACAAAACACTTTTTTTCCTACCACAATCATTATGGCTTTGAACACAGAAGGCCTATGTCCTCTGTTGAAATATAAGAGTGATACAGCAGCAAAGGTGTAAATGTTTGCATATATTGGTGGGTGGACAGTACTGTATGAACAACAGGGTACAGGTGTAAAAGTATGCAACTAAAGTCAGCAGAGCGATGGTGGCTGTATATTGCAGAATATGAAAGTAAAGTAAAGAATATGTGAGCAGTGAAGACGGATATAAATGCAAGTTCCAGAGACAGTGATGACAGTGGGGCAGTTTGCGGTGTATCAGTCATAATGCAAAGGTAGAAGAGTGGACGACAAAATAATAAGTCTGAAATCAAAGATTTGGTTACTTGGGTCAGATTTGCAAATGAACTGAGAACAGAATGTCAGGAATAAAGGAAAGATACGGCCAGCAGAAACCTTCAGTCATGTTTGTGGTATTGTGCTTTCCAAAAAATCATACAATTTTTACTCAAAGCAAAACTGTTTAAGTCTTCACAAATTGCCACTTGAACAATTGTGCTCGGTTGTAAATAGTGTTACGTTGTGTTTCACCTCATATTAATTGCTAAAAGCCCTTTATGGAGTCTGCAAGTACCCTTTTTCAAATGTTATTTCACTAAGAAAAAAGCTTTTAGGAAATTAATTTTTAGTGGCTCAGTCTTCAGATCGTAATTATACTTTGTTTATACTTGTAGCTTTGACTTTGTTGCTTTTTAAGCTGCTCTGGTACAGTTTTATTTGTTTATTATAAAATATCTTTCAGGCTAACAAAATAATAATTACTTTTCAAAAATAATTAACCTTCTCTTATTTTTTTTCTGTAGCACCATAATTAAATCTAATATGTGAACATCAAAGTAACAACTATCATCTTTCTAAAGAGCCCTCAGTTTTGCCTGTAGCCCAGAGGGTTGATGAACTGTGACTGTTTTAGTTTGTGTAGGTCAGGTTTGGGTTTGAGCTCAACTAGCGGGGGCGACTGTTAACAGGTTAAGCGAGCGATGATGGTGCCTTGATCTCCAAACTTCCACAGTATCTGATCATCTCCCTGTACTTTAACACCAGTCTGTAGAGTGACAGAATCTCCCTCCATCACTGATACTGACTGCACATCATCTGTCTCAACAACAAACACATGTGGAGAGCAAACAGAAACGACTTAAAACAGAGATTAAGCTTGCAATTCTGCAAGTCATTTTCACATCATACACATTTAAATATATACGCACAGAACAAATTAAATGATTGATTTTCCTTATACTAATCACAAAAAAAAAAAAACAAGATGCAGATTTTCCCATAATAGTGTGCATCTTGCGGGTCAAAAAATAAGTCTGAGTACAAATGTAAAGGAGTATCAGAACATTCATTGTATTTCTTTTTTAAATTTTTTAAATTCATTTTTTTCTGAAGATAATGCTTTCTGGATATAATCTCTTTACATATAATGTGTAAAATCTTTTTAATCATATTTAAAAATGAATATGCCATCTCTAGAGTGAAGCAACACCTTCATCCTGCACACCAATTTACAAAGGAATTTAATATGTAAAATATTTTAATTGGTTTTTTTAGGATATAGAGAGGCACACACTGGTTAGTTAGACTATTAAAAAATCAGTAAATATTATTTTGTTAAAATTATTCTTTTCCTGCATATTTTCTCATGGAATATCCTGTTTCGCTAATTCACATTACAGAAATAATACAGATATGTCATTTCACTTTAAGAGCCTTCCAGATTGTTAATGATAAAATAAATTACTTGTACATTTCTAAATGATGATGAAAAAATATTTTGCCAGAATGCAATATCAAGGAAGAATGATGCTAGCAGAATGGTGTAGTTACTGCGTCTACCAGCAGGGGCTAACTGACCCATGCTGAAGAGCGAAACCGTTAGCCCTTGGTATATTAACCATTCATTATAAATATTTAATACACCATTTGTGGAATCTAAGAAATAACATTTCAAATGCATTTGGAGAGTTTTCTGTATTTAAGCATTCTATGTTCTATATCCATTAAATTCAAGATGTTTTGAGGGGAAAATAAAAAGTTCACTGTTACAGTTCCTCAGCAAATATTTATATATCCTTTACAAATGCTCTGAACATCTTGAGTGTTTATTAGCATACTGAAATTGATTTATAAAGGATTATTGTGTATTATTGTGATTATACCAAAGGATATGGCTCACAGACAGTTAATGATCCCATTGATTTTACTCACCACTGACAGCAACATTGAATATCTTGGATTTGGTCTCTTTGTTGTTCTTGATCTGTAGTTCATAAACTCTAGAGTCTGTGGTTTTGAGGTTTGTGATGGTCAGAGCTCCAGTCTGACCATCCAGCTTCAGTCTGCCTCGGAATCGTTCTTCCTCATTCCCAGGTACTGTGGTTGTATTCATTTCTTTATCAATCTCTGCTATGAATTTATTTTCGCCTTGAATCTTCCACACCAGTTCTAGTGCTCCCTGTGTTTCAGTATCATCAGTGTGTAGAGTGACAGAATCTCCCACCATCACTGACACTGACTTCGCTACATCAGTACCAAACACACCTGGACAACCAACAGAAACCATTTCTAAACAGAGATTATGATATTAAAGTGGTCAGTAATTTTCATATATACAGTACGGCGCAGAAATGAGTACACTCCCCCTGAACAAAAATATATTTTCTTTGTCTGAAAGATCACTATTGCAATTCATCCAAAGCTGACAAAATTGTAGTTAGTTAACAGAAGAAAAATATAATTACACCCTACATTTAATTCAACACAGGTGTAATATTCTAGTACATAGTATGTCAAGCAACTGTCATGTTGAAAAAAAAGAGTCCAACAATGAAGAGAAGCTATCATCTTCTCCTTCAAGATTTTGTATTACGTGTAAAATACAAAATCACTCAAAATGACCAGACGTTCACATATATGGGCTACACCCAACCCAACAGTCAGACTGTCTTGAGTATTTGTTCTATTGCTTTCAAATTGCTGTTTTGATAATAATAAAAAAAATCCTGTTACTTTAATGAATAAAAATCTCTCAATTGAAATAAGGCTGGGGTTGTGGGTGACATGATTTTTCTGAAGAAGTAAAATGTATTAACATAGTAATTCAAACCAACCCCACCTACTGTTAGAAGAGCAGGCTGTGACAACAGCACAACTCTACAGCGATAATTACAGGTGGTTTACTTCAAATACGTGTTTTATATTTCCACCTGAATAAAAAAAAAACAATAGCGAGAATGATTTTTTTGTGTTGTCAGTGTTCACGTAAAATAGAGATGCGCAGAATATTAATACAGGCTGTCAGCGCCCTCTAGTGTTTACTACAAAAAACACACGCGGACCAGACAGAGTACCCCCAAAATACTCTACTACGGTGTTGTCATCAGTCATTATTCACTATGCGATTTATCACAACATCTATTTATAGAGTATAAAACGTCTGTACGTTAAGAAACACTGGAGGGAAGTAAATAAGATAACAGCAAATGGACATTTTCTGTTTCCGGTTTATATTGAAACCGAAAGCATTAATACAATAATTTAAAAAGTAAATCTGACTCACCATCCGCGAACAATAAAAGCCAAAAAAGGAAGGGATTGTTCCTCATTCTGATATCACGTCTGACCGCATCCAGAGTGAATGACAGCAGGGATTCAGGGTAGTTATGATGGGCTTGTGGCAAACTGCCCAAGTCACGTGACTTCTGCGAAAGAGGAAGTGTTGCGTCATACTCAGTGTCCCAAAGTGAACCTAGACTAGGTCAAAAGATCAAACATCTTCACACAGAGACAGGTGTAGCTGCCTAATGATTATAGACCTGCCAGAACAAAACAATCAAGACTTCACACATGCAAACTAGCTCGGTTTATCTGTAAATATTAAGTTCTTCATGTAGAAATCAGTTCAAAACCCACCTACTGCTGGTCTTGATACATTGCTTATATTAGCATGTATCAATGAGCATTTTTTTATTTATCATTTTATCTATATGTATATGTATGTATGTGTGTGTACAGTTTCATAAATTATGTACTGAGACCTGGCATTGCACATTGCATAAAACAATTACATACAAGGTGTACATGTGCTATTCGCTGATGATGACCAATATATTTCTGACACTAGGGGACAGACTAAAACTTGCTTTACATTTTCATTTTATGCAGTGCAAGATATAAAACTGAACACCCCCTGTTTGTTTTACTGTGTAAACTTGAGTCAAGTCTGTTTTTCAATGTACTTCATTTAGCTTCATTTGTGAGCATTGAAAATGAGGGAGAGATTCTGTTAATGTGTTCAGACAGGGTCTGTAAAACCAGTGAACAGAAGATGCTGAAAATAAACCACAGGAACTGAGAACAAAGATGTTATCCTTATAGATGACTTGCATACAATGAGCACAGATTCTTTATGTTAAAACATGTGATCCACATTTTATCATTGAAATTCAAAGTGAATGAAAATAAAACCAAAATAAAGAAACAAAACAAAACAAGAAGTGAATGATGTGTAGCTCCCGGCGCCTATTTATACTGTAGTCGCACTGGTAGTGACGTCATGGCTGTCACCGGCCAACGAGTTGGTGGTTTTTCAATGTATGCTTCAGACACGGGTCACGACGAGGCGTTCCCCATAGCGACCCCTAGAGGACGCAGTTCGAAGTTCGCATGAAAGGGAACCCTGACAACATAAAAACACACACCCCATCACAGAATATGTGATTTTCTTGCTCCAGATTTGTAAGATTATATGTTTAGAGTGTATGAATCTCACAGTATTTCTCACAGAATGTTACTGTGAAACAAAAGCTGTCATATATTTTTTCGTCCTTGCAAGAGAAAACATCTTGTTTGTACTGAAGGCATTTGAAACTCTAGCAGCTCTGTTTCTGAGTCAAAGTGAAATCGGTTGTGGTCTGAGGTTAATTTGATCAATTTATTGACAATTGACTCAAACGAATGTTGTTTCTGTTGAGTGGACAAACATCTTGCTCCTAAATATATTTTTACTATTGCTTGTGTGGCTAATTGACAGGTAAATGGGCAAAGACATTATTTTTCTTTAAGCCAGATTTCCACAAAACAGCTTCACTGTAGTGAGTCCATCATCAACAGCAATATTTGATTTCTGTCAAGCAGGTTTCTTAGCAGTTGTGCATCTGTGATAACCAACTTTTGTTTCCCTACACAGTAGAACATGCAGCACACCAGCAGATTAAACCAAACAGGTGCTACAAGATTCTGGGAAGAAAAAACAACACAGCACAAGCATGAGAGTCAAAGGTATAACCACAGTTAAGACTATAAGGTAAAAATCATCATACTATAATGCATCATATCTATGGAAACAATGAGTGATAGTTTTAAGAGCTAAGCAGCTGTTGCTCTTATCACAGGCACGTTCATGTATAATCAGACTGAAAGAGTTATTTTTGTTTATTTTTGTCTCTAAACCTCAAGTTATCTACAGATTAAGATAATGCAGCAAGATGAAGAACGCGTGTCTGTTGTGTTTCATGAAATCGGATGGAGGTTTTTCAGACTTAAAGCGGTTTTATGTCAAACGGTTGAAGAAAATGATTCACAGGCTAGTTATGCTTGTGTTGTTTTCTTATGGTTGGCGAGTTATAGATACATTTGACTTATTTTTACAGAATTGTACTCTTTAGATCATTTAAAGGATTTACGTCATCTCGTCTTTTTCTCCAGTACACAGTAAAATCCTCAGAATTAAATCGCCACTGTTCAGTATACATTATCCCAATAATAAACAGAGCGTTAAAAAGTAACACTGAAGCAGTGTTGACGTTAATGAGATGATTAAGAGATGACGAACACCTGCTGTTAACAAGCATAATTACTGTAGGAAAGAAGAACAACATGAACAGGAAGAAGTGAAGAGATGAGCAGAAACTGCTACAAATAACTTCCAGAGCCTTTTAGATGAAATCAACTGAGAATAAAAAAACACTAAGCATCAAGATCTCAGCAGAGGATCATTAAACAACTTCAAAAACACTTATTACTAACAAGTTTGACTTTATTGCAATGCATGCGGAGTGTCATTGTACAAAACCCCCAGCATGCATTGCAGATGAATAAATCATGCAGCTGAATTGTCCCAATAACTTAATGCTTGCTTTTATTTTTGCTGTTGCTTATGTTGCGACTTTATTGATTGATCTGTGTTGAGCCAGATGAGACATGTGAATATAACAATATATTTTATAAAGGCAAGTAAAAGAGCAAATGAGCCACTCCTATTGATAAGACATTAACATGCCTGATGGGCAATTTCAGTGACTTACACTGTTCACTCTGGCACCATAAAATATAGTCTCAGTTTTATCAAGTTTGATTGGCTTTATTGTGTGTTTGTACATAGATCCAAATGTATGCGCACAGCATAAACATAAACTTGCACATGAATGGCACAGAAATTATATTTTGCACCCATATCCCTATGCAAATAACCTGAAGATTACACTAAGAGAAAACACCAATTTCAAGCAACCAAACCCTGCTGGTTTACAGGGGATAGATTTTAAGCATATGTTGATTTATTTTATATTTAACGAGAAAACGTCATCAATGGTTCTGTAACTTGAACATTTTAGACTATGTTGTTTACAATTTTTCCATTTGTTCTAGTAGTCAAGCATGAGGCAAAAATACATGAACCGTGATATGTCAAAAATATATTCATAAAAACAAATTAAACACTAATTAGTATGTCACGCAAAGCCTACGTTTGTATTGTTATACAGCGATTATGAATTGTTGTTTCTTCTTTTCTTGTTGATCCTGAGAGTGATTCACTTTACATTCACTGAAACCTGTTATAAAAACACAGAAAGAATCACAATAAGAAAATAGTAATGAATAATTAATAGTTTCAATAAGAAGAATGATAATATTAGCTAAAAGTTCCCCTGCGCTTAGGTTCTCCTGCGCTATACACATACAATAGGAAAATCTATCTTCTGTTGTCCTTTCAACAGTAATCATACTTAAATTACAAATCGAAACGTAGAAACAAAAAAATCTCAACTTTACTTTTTCACTTCCTTCAAAGACTCAATGTGACCCTGGACCACAAAACCAATCATAAGGGTCAATTTTTTTCAAAATTGAGATTTATACATCCTCTGAAAGCTGAATAAATAATCTTTCCATTGATGTATGGTTTGTTAGGATAGGACAATATTTGGCCGATATACGACTATTTGAATATGAATCTGAGGGTGCAAAAAATCAAAATACTGAGAAAATCGTCTTTAAAGTTGTCCAAATGAAGTTCTTAGCAATGCATATTACTAATCAAAAATTAAGTTTTGATATATTTACAGTATAGGAAATTTACAAAATATCTTCATGGAACATGATCTTTACTTAATATCCTAATGATTTTTTGGCATAAAAGAAAAATCGATAATTTTGACCCATACACTGTTTTATTTTTGGCTATTGCTACAAATATACCCCAGCGACTTAAGACTGGTTTTGTGCTCCAGGGACACAAATCATTTTTAGCTCCTGCTGTGTGATTTTCATGAAATACTTACACCTTTGCCTTGGTTGCTTATACTTCTTGTAGCAAAAAACACAGTTACAGCCCAAACCACCAGACCAACACCAGCACCACATATCCCTGATGCAGCACCAGACTGAGCTGTAATGATAAAGAGAGACAGCCATTAGAGTGAACGTATGTCTGATCTATAACAAACACTAGAAACATCAGCACTATATAACCTGACTCACAAAGCACAAATCTAAATGAGACTTTCCTTTTGAAAGACTTGAAGTACTCACCACTGACAGTGACACTGAAGCTCTTCTGTATGGTATATGTGCGTTTGATGATCTTTATCTGATAAAGTCCTGAGACTTCAGTCTTGGTGTTGCTGATGGTCAGATCTCCAGTTTGAATATTCAGATGCAGTCTGTCTGTAAATCTCACATCATGCTCATTATATATTATTCTTCGATTCTCTCTGTCAGTTTTTACTACGGAAGTGTGTTGAGGTCCAAGCGTCCACTGGATGCCATCATCTGCTGTTATATCAGTAATGCGAGTCTGTAGAGTGACAGGATCTCCATCCCTCACTGACATTTTCTTCACCCCATCGAAACTAAACACACCTGGAAAACAACCAAGAAACGTTTTTAAAATGTTAGATTAAATGAATTAAATTAATACTCTAGCACTCTCTATTCTTAAAAAACTAAAAACTCACCCCTTTTAGACTTGCACTCTATTCATTTACTAACTGCTTGTTTTCTTAAAAAAACTAAACTAACACTAGCTTGTTATATTTTATTCCAGTTTTCTTTTTATTTATTATACAATTCACAAAAGCAAAAAAGGCCTCTAACACTAGCTTGCTCTATTCTTTTTCAATTCTATCTGTTTTCTTTTAATTTATTATTTAAAAATAATGCACTTGCATATTGCTCTTTTGTTGATTTTGACTGCTTCTATTGTCCTCATTTGTAAGTCACTTTGGATAAAAGCGTCTGCTAAATGACTAAATGTAAATGTAAATTTAGATTCATTTTTGCTAGATTAAATAGTCTATTTATTTATTTATTTTACTGTAAACAGATACAACAAATCTAATTATATATAAAAAAGTTAATGGAGAAAATTGATTTTTTTTTATTTATGCATATATGATTCAAACTGATGGAAGTTACTGTCAGGGAGAATAACGAGTAAACACAAATATACAGTGCTGCTTGAAAGTTTGTGAACCCGTTAGAATTGTCTATATTTCTGCATAAATATAACCCAAAAAATCCTGAAAGTTGACAAAGAGATCCCAATCAAACAAATGAGATGAAAATATATACTTTGTCATTTATTTACTCAGGAAAATGACCAATATTACATATCTGTAAGTGGCAAAAATATGTGAATCTCTAGGATTAGCTGTTAATTTGAAGGTGAAATTAGAGTTCATCTGTTTAGAGGTGTTTTTAATCAGTGAGATGACTATCAGGTGTCAGTGTGTGCTCTGTTTTATTTAAAGAACAGGGATCTATCAAAGTTTGGTCATGTTTGTGGAAGTGTATCATGGCACAAAAAAACTTGATCTCTAAGGACCCCAGATAAAAAAGTTGCTGTTGCTCATCAGGCTAGAAAAGGTTTCAAAGCCATCTCTAAAGAGTTTGGACTCCACCAATCCACAGTCAGACAGATTGTGTAACAAATGGAGGAAATTCAAGACCAGTTTTACCCTCTCCAGGAGTGCTCCACCAACAAAGATCACTCCAAAAGCAAGACGTGTAATAGTCTGCGAGGTTGCAAAGGAACCCAGGGTAACTTCTAAGCAACTAAAGGCCTTTCTCACATTGGCTAATGTTAATGTTTATGAGTCCATCATCAGGAGAACACTGAACAACCATGGTGTCCATGGCAGAGTCGCAAGAAGAAAGCCACTGCTCTCCAAAAAGAACATTGCTGCCCGTCTGCAGTTTGCTAAAGATCATGTGGACAAGCCAGAGGAATACTGGAGAAATATTTTGTGGACAGATGAGACCAAAATAGAACATTTTGGTTTAAATGAGCAGCGTTACTTTTGAGGAGTGAAAAACACTGCTGCATTCCAGCATAAGAACCTTATCCCATCTGTGAAACATGGTGGTGGTAGTGTCATGGTTTGGGCCTGTTTTGCTGCATCTCGTCCAGCATGGCTTGCCATCATTGATGGAAGAATGAATTCTGAATTATACCAGCAAATTGTGAAGGAAAATGTCAGGACATCTGTCCAAGAACTGAATCTCAAGAGAAAGTGGGTCATGCAGCAAGACAACGACCCCAAGCACACAAGTTGTTCTACCAAAGAATTGTTAAAGAAGAACAACGTTAATATTTTGGAATGACTGAGTCAAATTCCGGACCTTAATCCAACTGAACTTTTGTGGAAGGACCTGAAGCAAGCAGTTCATAGGAGGAAACCCACCAACATCACAGAGCTGAAGCGTTGTGCAGGACTGATCAGCAGTTACAAGAAACATTACCTGCAGTTATTGCTGCAAAAGGGGGTCAGACCAGATACTGAAAGCAAAGATTCACATACTTTTGCAATTCACAAATATTTAACACCGGATCATTTTTCTCAATAAATAAATGACAAAGTATATATTTTTGTCTCCTTTGTTTGATTGGATTCTCTTTGTCTACTTTCAGGATTTGTGTGAAAATCTAATTATGTTTTGGGTCATATTTATGCAGAAATATTGAAAATTCTAAAGGGTTCACAAACTTTCAAGCAGCACTGTATATGTATATATATATATATACACATACAGATTTTTGGTGGCATTTAATTACAGATATATTTTATCAGTTCAATCTTTAAAAGCAGCAATATTTCAAATGCATCCGCGTTATTGTGACCACAGTATGATTTGTAATGTATTCATCCTCTAGGGGGCGCTTCAGGATCAGAAAGAATTGTCAGAAAATGTCCAATAAATTCTCAGAAAAAAAACAAAACACATTCAAATAGAGCAGGGATTCACATCCTTTTTTCTGTCAGCCTTCGATCAAAAATAGCCTATATTCTTGAACTAGGCCTACCCGTGAAATGTAAAGTTAATAGCCTATTTCAGTCATTAAACAGCATTGCTCCCTGTTCTCTGATGTTGGTTGATGGCCGTATTCCATGCAGTCAAATAAATAAAATAGCCTATTTCACCTTCTCTGTATGTGTTTTATTTGGATTGTTTTTATTTTAAATCGGTTTATATTTTTGTAAGTGGATAATATATAAGTGTTCAATATATTTGTAAGTGTAAACATTTTAATGATTGGCACCAGAGAAGCAAACTGAAACTACCCCACCCTATCTAAAAAAAAAAAAAAAAATTTTTTTTTCTATATTAAATATTGTTTAGCCTAGCCCTACTAGTAGTGTTTACAGAATAACATGACTCTAAAACCGTTTAACATTTATAGAAAGTTTAGTCTACTCACCACTGATATTAATACGTAATTTCCTGTGTAAGATCATACTGCTGGTGTTGATCTCCACTTTATAATCTCCAGACTGATCTCTTCGGATGTTTCTGATGGTGAGCTCTCGGGTTTGATCGTTCAGATGAATGTTAGGCCTACTCCATCTCGAGTCAGCAGCGCTGTTTAATCCATTAACTTGCACGAGACCATCGCTGGTTCCTAAGTTTGTTTGTTTACCTTTACTGCATGCTTTTACCATTAAAACCCTAATTAACGTTGACAAGCAATATGACATTAGAAAGGCTGAAGTCTCAAGCTTCAGTATTTATGGCCACAATGTCACAGCCACAACCTCATTTTAATTCGTATCAAGAGATGGCAACAATACAGGTAACATTGAATCTGATAGTTCTTAAGTATTTTTGTCTAGTGAAGATAAATCAATCATACAAATGTATGCGACTTTTAACGGCAATGATCTAGTATAAAATCAGTTAAAACTCTTTAGTACAAAAAGTGTGAATTTAAGAGCAATGTCAATGAATTCTGCCTAATTTATGTAACAACTTAAGAATTACAATTCCTGTCATTTTTACACAAAAGTATGCACTCTAGGAGGTATTACAGAGGTATTATCACGTTTGCTAGGGTCTCACGTACAGATTAACCCCGCCCTCCGTGTCCTTTCTGCAGCGCTGATTGGTCAGTCATTCTGAACCATCTCAGAGTCAGAGTCGCTCTGGATGCTCAAACAATCAGATCAATTGTATCTCATATTTAGTGGTGCCTCTTCAAATGTGCATTATATTTTGTTCACACTTGTGCCTTAAATGTGATCGCTTTTTTAAGCTGCTCTTGCACATTTTCATATATTAATTCCTGAATATCTTTTATTTTTAAATGATGGATGATTATGTTCTAGAGTGTTTAGTCTTCTCTTACTATTTTTCTGTATTAATATAATGAACTCTGACCACTGCACAACAAACGGACAACTAACATCTTTCTAAGGAGACGTTAGTTTTGACTGTAATCCAAACGGTTGATGAACTGTCACCATTTTAGTTGGTGTAGGTCAGGTTTGGGTTTGAGCTCAACTAGCGGGGGCGACTGTTAACAGGTTAAGCGATCAATGCGGATGACTTGATCTTCAAACTTCCACAGTATCTGATCATCTCCCTTTACTTCAGTAACACCAGTGTGTAGAGTGACAGAATCTCCCTCCATCACTGACACTGACTGCACATCATCTGTCTCAACAACAAACACATGTGGAGAGCAAACAGAAGTTTAAAACAGAGATAGCGCTTAATGATGAAAGTCATTTTCATATAATAACACTTGAAATATACATGTGCAGATGACTCTGGGAATGATGGTACAACTACAGTTTTTTTTATTGCTTGAAAAATACAATATTCCAGAAAGGGTTCAAATCTTTTTTATAAATTTTTTTTTTAAAGCTTTTAATTTCAGAATGTCCCTAACAGTAACCTAGTCTCATGTGGTTAAAAAGGTGACAAATACATTAAAAAAATGGAAATGAATTCAGTACAACATTTATTTTTTTTAACACATGGAAACATAGGCTATGCTTCTATGTAGATATGCTATGTTTTTTTCTCTCTTTTTAAAGTTGACAAAAATAACAAACCTCACCGGATAATGTGAAGAATTTTTTTTTAAGAAATGACTTACATTTGGCTCTGAATTAGCATTAGCACACTACACTCATTTTAGCCAGTTGCTGCTGTTGTTTTTATATCTTCAGTAAATAAATAAATAAATACAAATAATCATTCCACAGCATCTAAACTGTCCACAGGTGACTGACATGAGTTACTCACCATGGACAGTAACTTGGAATGTCTTCAATTTTGCATCTGTGTCCTTGATGTCTACACTATAATGTCCAATGTGTTCAGTTCTGATGTTTGTGATGGTCAGAGATCCAGTCTGTCTGTCCAGCTTCAGTCTGTCTTTGAATATCGCACCGGGACCATCATATGTAGAGGGATGTCCATCTGCTTCATTCATTCTAGCAATGATTTCATCACCAAACTTCCATATTATCTTACTATCTTTCGGTACTTCAGTAATATCAGTGTTTAGAGTGAGATAATCTCCCTCCATCACTGACACTGACACTTCATCTGCTTCAACACCAAACACACCTGCAGAACAAACAAAAACAGTTTATATAATATTGTAAACATACCCAATATTGTAATATTTGTGCTCTAAATACAGGATATTAATGACAGCAAATTCTCAGGCAATATACTGTTTGTTTACAGCTCTATTCCTGTATTTGTAATGGGAAATGACAATGTTATATGTGACGAGTTTGAGCAGTTCTCTAAAGTGACCCTTTTCATTCACAATGATGTCTAGTTCAGATGGGATATTATGAGCTCATTTAAGGTCAGTCCCTGAACTAACTATATCCTTGCAGAATGCTACATGCTCTTGTGCAATGATACATTACATTGTGTCTCAGTTAATCAAAAGCAACACTAATCACCATAACAAAGACGGCACAAGAGATCTGTCTATTTGTTTATGAAAGAGACAAGTAGAGAATCCAGAATTTAATCTGCATTACTTCTGGGCTCTGCATTATTCAGATTTAAAAATACGTTTTTTGTTGTTGTTGTTTTTTTTCATATCCTCTTTGCAAACATCTATTTACCATAAAACTCTCAAAAAGTCACTTTACCGAGCTTGATCTCAGTCCCTTAATACACTTTTCTTTTCTTTTTCTGCCAGCAGTCTGGTGTATTTACGAAATGCAGCCGTTTCTTACAGTGTGTAAGTAGTGTCAGCAGTTGTTTTGCAAGTTTATAAATCTACCTCAGTTTTTCACCGTATCAGTAATGTAAGTGAACAGATTTGTTGCATTGTGTCTCTTGAGAATTAAGGCTAATGTGGCTTGGAACTTCTACAAGACAGCATGCAAATTGTAAAAAGTATGCGGTATGAAACTCAAATGCAGAAGAAAACATGCAAAAGAAAAAAAAAACATGTATAAATATTAGTAATATTCATTTAGACAGCCTGAAAACATCTTATTCTTAAGGTTAAATGTCTCAGATTCCCCCCCCCCAGTTAAATGTATTCTTATTTTTATTCTGAGGTATAAATAAAGTAAAACTTCCCAACTGGCTCATATCTGGATTTATGTTTCTCATCTGGATTTATTTATGATTTATTGGATGAATATTAAATGACAGAGCACAGCTCAGCACACAAGCAAGTATGTTTCACATGGACACACAAAGACTGAAAAAGTGGCACTGGCACAATGATGCATAGGCAGTTTATTTGCCGTTTTAATGTAAAATATTTCATATTTTACATTTTGGAATAAACATTGGGTGTTCGGGATGGCATAACTTATTCTGAACAAGTAAAACTTGCTGAAACAAGTAAAGCCCACCTTAAGCTGGCCTAATGTTGTAAGCACAGGTTGCAACAATAGCCATAATTACAGCTTGATGGTAGTTTATGGCAAATGGGCCTACTTTTATTAGTAGGCCGCACCCTGAATGAGAGCGACAGTAACTCAACCGGACTAAAGTCCAAGAGACTGACTGACTGATTGAGAGAGTGGCTTATTTCTGTTTTTCTGTTCTGTTTCGTTTAAATAGTACATGCGTTCGTGTTGCAGCCAGTTTTTATGTAAAATAATAACGCTCAGAATATTGCATGCCGTCAGCGCCCTCTAGCGTTCACTACTAAACACACGTGCACAAACAACTAACTCCAAAAATACCCTTACAGTGTTGGTGTTTGATTTGTCAGAACGTATATTTATGAAAAAGTGATACGTTTGAGTTTTTTTTTTTTAAACTGTAGCTAGATATAAAAAATAAGAAGGTTTCTGATTTATATTGAAAACGAAAATGCTAAATTAACATAAAAAAATAAGTTTTACTCACCGTTCACGAGTAA